ACAGAGTCGGTAACGACTGAGCGCAGAAAAAAAAAAAAAAATCAAAATTTAGATTTAACTTCAGTTTATATCTATGTCTTAAAATTAAAAACAAGCTTAGAAATTCAAACACCAATATTAAAATAATAATCTACATCCAGTAAAACAAAAAAAGCGTTCGGAAAGGTATTTTAGGGCTACTGGAACCTAGACACAAAAGTCCAACCAAAGCAAATGTTTCAATTTGCTCACTTTATTTGCTAGTTGTAACTGCTCTTGAAGGTTTCTTATTAGGTTTTCATCCATAAATGTAGCATCCTTTGAAACAGAGCCAGATGGCAGAGCTTCCAACTGCTTTTCAATTGCCTCTTTTAATTCTTCATGCAATCTGTGTTACAATAAGAGGTGGATCATTTTGTTGTAAAACAGCAAATTGTATTTGTATTAGGAATGGTTCTTCCATCAGACAAACTGTTAACACTTTTAAGTCCAGAAAAATAGTTTAAGTTATTTATGAAATAGTAAGCACATTATTTCCAAAAAAATAGTAAGCACATTATTTCCAAAAAATCCCCAAGTATCCATATTTATTGCACTGCAAGAGTAAGACAGAAATAATATATGATCTTGTCAATCAAGATCTTGATGTCTCAGAGGCAGTCCATGGGAAGACTTGAAGTGATCTGCAGTATTCAGTAGCTTCTTGCTGTAACAAAACAGTATTAATACGATTTTTATGACTTTACCTTTCATTTTCCTTAACAACTTGTTCAAGTTTTAGCCTCATTTCCTTCATCTGCACCTAAAAGCAAGCAAAACGGTGCATTAAATATTTATTTTTGAAGATATGATAGATCACGTACAGTACATATTCAGCACAATACAACCACCACTAAGATGCTTGAATGCCAATTTAAAATGTTGCCTTATCTAGTTTATGAAACAAGATTTCTAATTTTAGAAATATTTATAAAATACTTTTGAACTATTAGAAAACAGTGGCACTATTTTTTTATTAGCTACAATTCAGTGATTTTTTTTTAAAAGTCTTACTATTATCAGTTCAATAATAGACATCACTGTTTTTTAATTACTTAACAAAATGTATTAGTCATAAAAATAATTTAGCTTTAGCTTCATACCTGACAGTATTTTAGTTGTTCATTCATTTCCCCAAGATGTCTATCATATTCAGCAACTATAGGAGGTAATGAGCTAAAAGGAATGTAAAATAAAGTTATTTGGTATATTGTCTGAACATTCAAGTGACACAACACAGTTCAATTTTTTTAAAAAAATCTTATTGTCACATTAAAAAATGAAGCATTAGAGAAAAATGCTTAAGGATAAGCACAATAATCACAAATCACACTCTCTCTCACACACACGTATATATGGAAACATTTTCCAAGCAATTGGTCATTTCTTTGCTTTATTTACTTAGATTTATATCCTGCTTTTCCTCTAGAAGCTCAAAGGGGCATACAGAGTACTCCATACTCCAATTTTTATCAGCAGTAACAATCCCGAGTGCCATCAAATATGTTTGCAAGGATGAAGATAAACTTGAACCTGGCTCTTCCTGATTAGGAAATCCAGCACACACACTTTAATGCCATTACACAATTTCAATGAAAGACAGGAGTGTCTTTCCTCAGTTGTTGCCTAAATGTCCTCAGAGTGGGAACAATTTAGTCTTCTGCTGAAAAGTCCTGGGAGAATTTAAACCAGAAAGTTACAGATGGCAAGAAAAGTATAAGTGCAGAAGTGTCTTATTTCTTTTCGGAATGGCTTTGTTCAGTTATGAAGTTTTACCTTTGGGAATATTTTGCATCCCTGTATTTTTGTTTGTTTGTTTTGCGTATTAAGGATTGCTAGTACCTATATGTAGACCTAGGCCTTCTACAACTTGCTTCACCTTTCTCATTTCCTGTGTACTCACTTTCTAGTCAATAATAATAATAATAGTAATAATAGTAATAGTAGTAGTAGTAGTAATAATAATAATAATAATAATGATGATGTTATTCCAATGTTTGCTTTGTTTAAGCACCAGATACTCCAAAAATTGCTTGTGCCTGGACCTTCTGGTAAAAAGGTGAAACCGGAGTCATTTATTTAAAAGATTAATCCTGAAGAAGAGGGATCTCTCACCCCATCTGGATTCCCAAGAATATGAGCAGGTGGTTTTCCCTCTACTCAAAAACAGATGGTGGGAGCTTACCTTACCTGTCTCAGATGGAACTTATTCACCTTGAGAGACAGGTATATCAGACACCCCAGAACTCAGTTAGATTTAGAAGGGTAGAGATCCCGAAAGAAATACAACTTGTGTTGTGAAAGTCACCCTACTACAGATTGACAATCGTTTATTTTGTATGTGTTGACTTATAAAATACCAAGGGTTTACAAACTAGTAGACATATAACTTCATTTGAAGTACAGTTATGGATCAGTAGACAGTATTCTAATGTAAAGAACGTAGGATACTTAACAACTAGTTATTGTAAATATTAGCTATAATTGTAAATATAGGTAGAAATATTTAAATTCCTCTTCCTTTTGCACCAGTTGTAAAGAGATTTTATACAAAAATCTTTTCCCTTTCAGTTGGTCCAGATAAAGGAGGGAACACACACTGCTTTGTTTGGACTCAGAATGATTTTGTTGAAGTTAGGCTGTCTTCCAGGAGAACCTTTACCTCTTCCAAAATGATAACTTTTATATATTAAAAAAAACAAACTCAATGACAGTTATGCTAATATTTTAAGACATGAAAAGAAGGAGAAGATCAAACTGTCACCCTCTGATGTCATAACGTATTTTGTGTAGTTATAGTTTCTCATTGCTAAAGCATGGAATGCTTGTGGAATCATTTTCCAGATAAAGAGACAGGTTCTGCCAAACATGATTGAATTATTGGCAAAATATTTAGAACACACATGGAGAGAGTTTTGTTACAGAGTTATTTATGACTGACTTAGGATCCACTGAAATGAATAAACCAACTTGAAATTCCATTGATTTCAATGGATCAACTGTGCATTATTACATCTGGATTCAGAATGTTAAAGTACTTTTTTTTTTCACCTAATCACAAATCTAATTCCTTGATCCTGAGCATGTTTATTTAAATTGTCTGTCTGTCTAATATATGAATGAGATAAAAAAGAAACAAAGACTTCATTTGTTCATTTTCTAAGAACATTTCCAGGCATCAATATACCTTTTTATAATATGGTGTGGGCGGGTGGGATTGCTTTGAAACTGCATTTTACACATTATTTAGAATGCCAAATAAATTGCTTTACCTTTGGTCTATCAGGATGGGCTCCATTATAGCAGGGTCTTCAAAGGCATTATTCTGGAAGCAAACCATTTTATTTTAATGACGTTATCTCTTAACACAAAGATGTTGAAAAACTAAAATTTAACTGTATAAATCTCCATATTTAGATCAAACTATTCCAAATGGATTCAAGTTTAATTCAAAGAGCATAACCTTAGCTTTTCATATCTTGTTCTGTTTTCACACTAATATGCTGTATTATTTAAATATCTTTATGAACTCAAAATATCTATGCTTTTTAATAGAAAAAAAGAAATATTTGCTAACGGTATTAACCTATAATGATCAGTCAGAATGAAAATAATTATTTACTTAGCATTTCATTAAATGTTAAAAGGGGGACGCGGTGGCGCAGTGGCTTAATGACGCTGAAAGTTGCCGGCCAGAAATGGT